ATGGTTATAATAACTCACAAAAAGATATGAACAAATACGATTAGTGTATAAATAATTAAACCAAAGAGTACAAATAAAACATACTGGTTTTACAATAATACGATTTACAGTGTTACACTATTTTATAGTACAACAACACTTATACATAACGGTTTTATGGTATTAAAATTACTTTTCGGTTATATTAGAAAATATTGGATTTTCTGGAACAGTAAACATACTCACTATTTCAAGGAACAGAAAACAAGTTTTTAAACATAAATACTTATGCACTCACCAACTTAAATGTTGATACTCTCTTTTTCAAAATACTTGTATTCTGAGGGAACCAGTAGACAGGTACATTCCCAGGATTTTGAGAAGACGGAGTAGTATAGAGTCACGTCTTCTAGCTTTTGCTATATAACTTTTGATGTCATATATACATTAACTTGAAAACATATGTAAAACTTATACTTTATTAATGCAATGGTTGTTGTACTTTGATTACTATGATGCATGTGTTGTGATACTTAACATGAAGTCATCCACCCCCGAACGTTTCCGCCATTCAGGTTTGGGGGTGTGACAACTACCAATCCGGAAAGCATAAAAAATGAAGTTTTTAATTACTTCAAGAGCAAGTTCAAAAAAATCTTCCCTGTGGTTCGACCTTTATAAGTTCCAAACTCAGAATCCTTACAGACCTAGATCGGAACTACCTGGAATCGACGTTCACGGTTGATGAAATTAAAGATGCCATGTGGATTGTGGTAATGATAAATGCCCAGGTTCAGATGGTTTCAACTTTAAGTTCATTAAGAATTATCGGGACATTATTGGGGGCGATGTGGTGGAGGCGGTGAAACATTTTGAACTTCATAAGGTCTTAAACCTAGGTAGTAATGCTTCATTCATTTCTCTGGTTCCCAAAACAAATGACATTGTCAACCTTATGGAGTATAGGCCGATTAATCTTATTTGATGCATCACCAAAATTATCTCAAAAACTTTGGCATGTCGCCTTACAAAGGTTATCGGGTCTATTGTTAGTATCGAGCAATCATCCTATGTTAGCGGAAGGAATATCATGGACGGACCATTAGTGGTTAATGAGATCATATCGTGGGCCAAGAGGAAAAAGAAAAAAGTTCTTTTGTTTAAAGTTGATTTCGACAAAGCTTTTAACTCTTTAAGTTGGAATTCTTTGGAGGATGTCATGAGGCAAATGGGGTTTAGAAACACATGGCGAAGTTGGGTCCGAGCTATTCTTTCATCGTCGAAGGTCTCAGTTCTGCTCAATGGATCCCTACCAAAGAATTCTTTTTAGAAAAAGGGGTGAGACAGGGAGATCCACTCTCCCCTTTTCTATACATTATTGCAGCAGAGGGTCTCAAAGTCGTTTTGGAAGAGGTTGTACACAAAAGGATCTTTGAAGGAATTGAGTTAACTAATGAAGGGCCAAATATCTCCCTTTATCAATATGCCGATGACACCGGTTTCTTAGGGAAATGGTCTAAGGACAATACTAGAAATCTTCAAAGAATCCTAACTTGCTTTCACCTTGCTTCTGGTCTAAAGGTGAACCTTCGGAAGAGCAAGATTTTAGGTATTGAAGTTTCTAGAGGAGAGGTATCTTCTATGACTCGGTCGTTGAAGTGTCATCTAATGTGTCAACTTCGGTTCCTCTTATTGACAAGTTCCAAAAAAAACATTCAATGGGGAAAAGCGAAAACTCTTTCCATAGGAGGGAGACTAACCTTGATAAGGTCCGTTCTTGGTAGCCTTGGAACATTTCTATTTTCGCTTTATAAGGTCCCTAAAAAGGTAATTTCAAAGATCGAAAGTATGTGTAACGAATTCTTATGGGGTACTTCATTGGATCAAAAAAAGATCACATGGATTGCGTGGCTGAGAACCATGAACTCCAAAGCTTTAGGGGGCTTACAGATTGGAAGCTTACGAGCGTGTAACCTTGCTCTTATCACGAAGTGGTGGTTGTGCTATAAAGATGATACAGAAGGAATTTGGAAAAAGGTTATTATTTGCATTAATGGGGATCATGGGGGGGCTAGGAGTGGCGATACCATGGGCAGAATAAGCAACGTATGTAAGGATCTGGAGCCTTTCAATATTGATCTTAATACATTTTTCTATAGAAGAAATGATTATGGGGGTAATTCCAATGGTAGTAAGTGGTGCTGGAGTCTTGATCCTAGTGGTGATTTCACTATATCTTCCCTTATGAAAGAAATTGATAAAAGCTTATTGGAGTCTACCAATACATCTACGGTTTGGACTATCATTGTTCCAGGGAAAATCAACATTATCATATGGCATGTTAGACTTGGTAGACTACCGACGAGAGCTAACCTTGCTCGGAGGGGAGTGGGTATTCCAATTACGTTATGCCCGATGTGTAATGCTTTTGATTTGAATGAAGAGCATATATTTAAAGAACTTTTAACCACTAGGGAGTTGGAAGCACTTCTACGAGTGTGGTGGAAGGATGCTCTCAATGAAAATGACTCTTTAGACAACCTCATTAGAGTAAACTTGATCCACAAAAAAGGTAGTAGAAAGAAAGATATCATGGACACGATCTCTAAGGCCTTCTTATAGGTCATATGGACGTAAAGGAACGGTTTGATCTTTAATAGCAAAGTGAAAAAGCCTTCTCCTTTTGCTTTTGATGCAAAGATTTAAGGTTTTTTTGGCTTAAAAATAGAGCTAAGTGGGGGAGATCTTTGTCTTGGGACTCATGAGTTGATAACCCAATCTACTATAGCTTGTAATTCAAACTTCTTGATGTCTTGCTGTTAGAAAACAATATGTTTGTGAATTAGTTTTATATATTTTTGAGTAAATTACACGAATGGTCCCTATGGTTTGGGGAAATTTGCGTATTTGGTCCCTAATTTATTTTTTTAACTCGGAAGGTCCCTAATATTTGTTTTTGTTACGCGCTTGGTCCCTACTATTTGATTTTGTTACGCGTTTGGTCCATTTCTTACCTAAAAAGACTATTATTTAAATAGAGAAAAATTGTGGGGTAGGTAAGGTAAGGTGATGAGGGTGAGGTTGAGAGTGTTTATTTAAATAAATCAAAATATATAGGGCAAAATAGTCTTTTTAGGTAAGACAGGGACCAAACGCGTAACAAAAACAAACAGTAGGGACCTTCCGAGTTAAAAAAATAAGTTAGGGAGCAAACGTGTAAATTATCCTAAACCATAAGGACCATTCGTGTAATTTACTCTATATTTTTAATATTTTATGAACTGTGTTTGTTGATAATTAATAAGATTAATAATTATTTAAAAGTAAAAAATTAAATGAATTGAATGGATTGAGGAAAATAGGTATCTATATATTATAGATATATTATAGGTGGAGAAAAATAAAAGAAAAAAGTGATAAAAAAAAATAATAATTTAACAAAAAAAATTGAGCGGGCTAAAAGCTGTCCACTCCCTCGACCTTTATATCCCAAAATCGAAAGATATTATAGGTTTTCCAGTATTCCCGAATTAATGTTGCCGCCATAATGATGCATTGGTGAAGAGTAATTAAATAGTTATACTTGGACGGCATCTAACTACCCTGCCGCTCCTTAGCTGAGATCGACCCTTTTGACATAACAAAGTCATTAGAATCAGAAACAATAAAAAATCTTTAAGCATGATGCACAAATTATAGTAGTTTGACTATCAGATGGGTCGAATAAAAAGATTTGGTTTCTAAATTAAGGAGTCGTGTTAAATAAGACTATTGCACGAGAAATCAATTACTTTATAACTAAATTTGAAAAGTAGTTAAAAATCTCAGCATAAATTATTTTACCTAACTTTATATAAAGAAAAAGATAAAATCTGATCTATTAACAATTAAGAATTAACAATAACAAATCTCAATCAACAAACGTAACATATTAGTCGACGTTAGTTATTAATTAGTAATTAACAAACAAACCACAAATTAATAAGTAACATATTATAAATTGTTGGGTTTAAGATTAACTTGGAAAATGAAGTTGTCTCTTTCCAATTGAGAGTAAATACCTAGCTAAGTGGTGGGTCATATAGAAGTAGTGCTTATTATATAAGCTGGTATATAAGCTGAACATTTACAGCTACTAAAACACACAAAGAGTGACACAGATATGGATTTGAAGGTGAAGGTAGGAGGTGTGAAAGATGTAGAACTGTCAGAACCCGTGAGCCCGATCGGACAGTACTTGAACAGCTCGGTGCTTTCTGTTCACATTATCGGCGTCTTGGAGTTTGACAACCCCATTGATGACGCTTCAAGGCTTGCACTTCATATTATCGATGTCTTTCTTCCCATTAACCATCGTTTCTCTTCAATTATGGTACCCTTAATTAATTAGCATTCCTACTTTTTCATGTTCATATGAGGTGCATGGGTTACGTCGTTTTGTAGAAACGTATTAGGAAAAGTACCGTTTCACCAACCATGCATGCACGTTGGAAAAAGTAACAAATTTTCAATACATCCAAACTTTTTGTTATTGATTACTATATCTACAATTTCATTAGCACATAAGATAACTTAATTATGGAATAATGACCCAATAGATTAATCAACTGAAACCATATGACTATATGAGCTTTTATGGTGATATCCGTAATTAAAAACGATAAAATATCTATTGTACCTTCTGAATACTTGGCAAAAGGTAAACAAATACATAAAAGCTAAGCTATTATATACTATGGAAATTAAAACCAATACTCACTAAAAGTAAAACCAATACAAACAGGGCTATATTACTGAAAGTCACATATTATATGCCATTTTTTGTTCTATGATTTGAACAGGTAGAAGACAAAGAAGAAGGGAAGCGCTGGAAGCGAGTCCAAGTGAAGGTGGAAGACCACATCCTAGTCCCTTCTTTTCCTGAAGCATTATCACCCGAATCTTACGATCATTATTACAGTGATTACCTATCAAATATCTCAATGGAACCTCTCCCGCAAACAAGACCGTTATGGGAAATTCATATCATCAAGTATCCAACAAGCAATGCATCTGGAAGCGTTGTCTTCAAGCTTAACCATGCACTTGGTGATGGTTACTCTATTATGGGTGCTGTCCTCTCTTGTCTAAAAAGAGCAGATAATCCTTCTCTCCCCTTAACATTTCCAGTTATTCGGAAAACTCTCAAGCCAGAAAATGATCTCAAGAGCTTTTTTAGTGTTGTAACATTGGGCCTCAGTGGTGCACTTAACACGGTCTTGGATTTCGGTTGGAGCATCTTAAAGAGCAGTTTCTTGGAAGATAGCCGAACCCCGATACACTCCGGCAAAGAAGGGGTGGAGTTCAGGCCGATCAATATAATGACAATGACATTCTCTTTGGATCAAATGAAGCAAATTAAGTCCTCCTTGCAAGCGGTATGTCATTACTTTCTTTTCATTTATTTATTTTTATCATCAAAATAACCGTTTTATGCAATGTTTTAAAACCCGGGTCGACCCGGCCGGTTCAACGGGTTGGACCGTGACCCGGGGTAGAAGGCGGGTCAATTGAGACCGGTTTTTTGTAAAAATACGAACCGGATCGAACCGGCCGGGTTTCCCCTAAACTGCGGTTCGACCGCTTATGTTGAACCGGTTAAACCGGTTTGACCCGTTTCAATAGAGTTTGGATAGTTGGATACAAGTAGCGAACGCCAAAACAACGAGCCGTTTGCGGCTTCTTCAATGTTTTTCAATGTTTAAACTTTGTGAATATCAAATTATTGGATTTATATGTTTATGCATTATGCATGAAAGTAAAAATATATAGAAATAGAAAAAGACCATAAACCGGGTTGACCCGACGGTTCAACCGGTTGAACCGGTTGACCCGTGAACCGGTCATCACACCGGGTCAACTAAAAACCCGGGTTTTAAAACTTTTATGAGGGAACGAAGTCATTTTTGTCGGGTAGATTACGTCCTTTTGGCCAAAGTGAAGGAGTCATCCGGTTACCCCTTAGCCACATGGACATTTGTTGACCAATTTTTCTATATTGACTTTGAGTTTCCCTTAAACCCACATCTCTCTCTCTCGCGCTCTCTCTCTCTCTGCCATTTACCATCTTTATCTGGAGTTCCTCTTTCAATAATCCTTTAGATCATAATCTGCTAGAGAAGGACTAGGTGCCATTGCCTCTCGTTTTCAAAGAAGCTTTCATCGCAGTGCACATTAATCTTATCATCTTCTTTAGTTCGTTCGGTTTGATTATTGTGATTTTAGGTATTATTTCTAGCAGCGATTGGTAGGTTAGAGTCGGTCGCGCGATTGTGAATACGGATCCGAGTGATAATTCGAAAATGTAACGGTTCCGGAAAACAGAACGTCAATGTATTCATATTCTCCGGCAGGATGCCGTCCAGTTTTTCTACTTTGGACTTACATAGACCTGTAACATAGATAATAATTAAGGATCAAAACAAAAAAAATGGCACAATTCGATTGTTGTTCAAATCGTAATGCAAATTTAAAACGATGTGTGAACTATGAATTGATTCTCACCAGTATCAAACCCTCGCTGTCGAAGTAGAGTCATCAGATGCCTCTTAAAACCCTCTAATGAAGTAATTTTAAAATTCTGGCACACTATTTCTACCTCGGAACGAATCGCACGCTTCACGCGGTCATCTTCGTCGTCCGTACCATCATCGATTACATCGATCAACATTTCCTTCGTCTCCAAATTTGTACCATAAAAATTCTCCACCTCCTGACCCTCTGACTCCTCCAGACGATCTCTAACCTTAATTTCACAGCACGATTTACCTCGATCATCGGTTTCTGCTCGAAGAACGGGTAAACTAGATCTGAAAGGTCCGTCACGGAGTTATGATCAGAATGCTCGCTTCCACTGCTCTGGCACAACCGTGCCCTAGCATCGTCGTCGAATGCAGCTGTTATCCTCTTGAACCTCATCGAAATCTTTGTCATTTTCAATCGTTACAACTTGTAGTGCCCAAGTTTTGTCTATGTGTTCTCTAAACCGGCTAAAACAAGTAAAGGGGGCTAAAATGACAGATTGTCGACGACTTACTTCCCTCATAAACCACGGAAAAACTTAGGTGACTAAAATGGTGAACCCTAAAAAATTCGTGGGCTGTATGTTTCATTTTCCCCATAATCAATCGTTCAAGACTTCTATTCATGCTAATAATTAAAATTAAATATAGTTTTCGATTTCAATTCCTTTAACTTTTGTTATAATTAATTAACTAGAAAGGTTACCCCCGCTACGCGGGGGCCAGAAGCTTTCAATGTTGTTTCTGAATTTATAAATATGACAGACATAGAAAGTGCAAGGATGAAAAGTCCGGGCTTTGCCCCAGACAAAAAATGTAAAAGTTTTGACTGCAATGACCAGAAGTGTGAAAATGGCTAAAAAATTAAAGGGGTAGGAATTAGCAACTTTTTAGAAAAGGGAGCAAAGTTGTCAAACCGTTAAAGTTTTGTGGTCAAACTTTAAATATTAAATGGTTCCAAAAAAGTGTAAAAATATTGATTGGAAGGACCAAAAGTGTGAAAATGGGTAAAGAATAATGACCAAAGTTGCCAAAAAATATCAAAATTTAGTATTTCTAACTTCCAACAATAATACAGGGACCAATTCTGCCAAAAAAATGGGAAGTTGAATGGAACACAAACAAAAGGACATGAATAAATTAATTAAAGAAGTACAGGGACCAGATATGTAAATCAAGGGACCAAACCTGGACAAAGCATCACAACTTTACTATTCCTTTCTTCCACAACTTTAATATATATAATAATTCAAAATTAATTTATTTTGATAATATTATAATTTCATCGTGACGATATTTAAAATAACAATAAAGTAGGGTAATACAATCTATAATTTAATGTTACTATTAATATTTATTAATGTTAATTAATTTTAAAACTATTTGTTATCAGTAAAATGTTATAAAATACTAATGTTGTAAAAATCGTTCGGCGGTAGCTCGACGATAGACTGACGATAAGCGATTAATCAGAATAGGCGGAGATTAATCGGAGATTAATCGGGGACCCTTAGTTATTATTAAAATTATTTAAAAAATTAATATTCCCTAAAAAACTAAGTATTTGAAAATTTTAAAACTTTAAAATTTTAAAATTTTGAAAATTTTAGTATAATATTTTAAAAGTTGAAAGCTTAAAAATTTTAAAATTTTAAAATTTTGGTGTAATATTTGAAAATTAAAAATATTGAATTTTTTAAAAAATTCCCGCCTATGACCGCCAAAGACCGTGAAGCCTGACTTTGACCGATTTTGACAAATTTCCGCCAAACGTCCTAATCGTAATCGGTTTAAGGCCGTCAAACGATTAGTCGTCAATTAATCGGCCGCCAAGGCCGATTTCTACAACACTGTAAAATACTAAAGTGTAGGTAGATTTTTTTTATGGAGCTTAGTAATGGATTGAATCGAAGGAGAACCTTTTCGTTTGAAATCCTTCTGGATAGGAATTTCTTGCATAATAGATTGCTTAACGAGTGGTGTCTGGATTTTCTCCTAAGACTGCAGGTTTTTTAATTGGTTTTTTATTATTACTAGTATCTACAAGCTCTTGATTTTGATTCTGATTGGCACTCTCAAACTGGTTTCATTAACTACCACAACACTTTCTATAATATTTGGTAGAGGAACATCAAAGAAATTGAGCAAAGATTTCTTCCTACGGTAAGGTCTCTTATGATACAACGGTCCACAAGGTTTTTGTTCTTGGTTGGGAATCATGAAGTGAGTAAAGGGGTTTTTTTTTTTTTTTTGTTTTTTTTTTTTTTGCAAAAGAGCAATCACATACTTCTGGATTTTTAACACTAATTGCTAATGACTAGTTGATATTTGGTTGATGGAAACAAGCGATTTGAATGGTTTTTATTACATCACTACAAGAAAAAACACCATTACCGATGACGTCATTAGCAGCGACGGCACCATTAGCGGTGACATTTTTACATGTCACCCCTAATGGTGTCGTCGCCGCTAATGGCGTTGCCACTGAAGGTTGAAATCACGATCCGTGTGCTTGTTCAAGAAACAACCCTATCCGATGATAACATAACCCAATCGAACGACTGATATCAATGATGTATTTTTTGTTGAATAAGTTAAAGTTTTTACATAAGAAACATGCATGGGCATTAGTTAAGTCACTGTGATTTTCTTGAAGGATACATTTTGTGCTTTAGCGGTGAGAAGTACTGTTGAAGGAGTGTCTGAGGGTGAAGTAAGATTATCAGGAGTTGGCTTCATCATAATCTCTTCATTGTCAACCATCTAAACATCAAAACATCTACCTTATCTATTTAACCATTACCTTGTACATTATCAGCCATAAAAACACCCCTTTGCTTTAGGCTAATATATGTATATTATCCTTCAGCATTCAAGCATACTTTTATACCATAAGTTCTTCTCCAAACAACATATCCTTGATTTTATTCTCATCGAAACACTCCTTTATTTGATACATCTCATGGTAGGTGGAGTCTTTTTCCAACAAGGCTTTCCTATAGGCATCAAAGGTATCTGAAAATAAAGAAAATATTTGGTCTAAGTAAGGCTCACATAAACTTATGAAAAAGTTAATTCACAAGATAAGAAATTTACTTACTCAGTTATGATGCGCTATGATAGAAATGAGTTTCTTGTCATGACACTATAGTTTTTCTCTCATTAATCCCTTATTTCTCACTATAATTAAAACTAGATGGCCATAAGTCGGTCTACACATTCTCAACTTTAGCATTTTTTGCAATTAGAAAAAGCTTCCCCATATTCATTGAGAAATCACCATTTTCGTTTTCATCACCTGAAGACCATAGTCCATACATGCTCATATCCTTTAATAATAAAAGATTTATCTTTCTCAAACTGTTCTTTGGCACATTCCAGATACTTTGTTGCATTCTTTACCTTATTTGACTTGCAAGCACAAGTGTAGCGGTTCAAAACATTGTAGTTGTGGAAGACGACAGTGTCACCTTTCTGTTTGATATTAGATGTGTTTCCCTTTTATTGAGTGGAAAAAGTTTGGCTTAAACTGTGATGTGAGTAAGGCTGGAATAGCAGGAATTCGGTTTGTTGAGAGCGATGTTGGTATTTTCGCTGAGGGTACGTATTTTAAGAGAAACTCTGGTTAGATGAGTGTGATGAGTTTTGATAGAAAATATAAGTTAGTTTTTTTCATAAAAACGGTAACAGAAGCTTTTAAAAATAACAAATTTATTTTCAAGTTTATAACAAAACCAAACTATCTAGGATCAATTTATAGATGTTAGAATGATATTAAAAACAAGACGAAACTGCACAAATGGTCTCTATGGTTTGCTGAAAATTGTCACTTTGGTCCAAAAATGTTTGGACTAGCACCACAGGTCCAAAGTTTTCCTTTTGTTGCGAGTTTGGTCGGATTTACTTTAAACTTTTTTGAAATAACGATTTTACCATTGCTTTTACTTTTCCAGTTTATTTATTTATTTAAATATTTGTATGATTAAAAAATAAAACCTCTCTCTCTCTCTCTCTCTCCCCAATAGAGAAGTTCAAAAAATTTGTTCTATTTTTTGCTCTCTTGGATTTGTAATTACTACGTGTTAATAATACAGAAGAAAAAGGAAGTAGCAAATGTCATCAAATCATAAAAGCTTTGTAGGTGAAAACCCTTCAAGAAATCTATCAAACAAAACATGGGCATTTTTTTTTCTGAAACACACACACTCCAAAATTATGTATCTGTTCTTCAACAAATGAACCCAGATGTCGAATAAACCCTAAACAAGATTTTTATTTCGAAAAAAAACTATAAATGATTACTCATGAACACATACTCCATGAGAACCTCCAAGTCCATGATCTCAACTGTTGGTTGACGCGTGTTTGGTATCCCCATAATTGGAAGAACAAGCTTCACCTACTTCCCCTAAATCTTCGCTATCATCAGAAAACGTCGTCATTGCTGGAGATTCAGAACTCCACGACGACAACGTACATCAATGAAGATTTGGATGTCTCATTGGTCTCTCTCCTTAGATTCTGAACACATGATGAGGACATGGTTGCAGATCTGTAAGGAGGGAAGCATATCTAGGAGGGTATAGCAGATCCGTAAGGAGGGAGGCAGATCTAGGGTTTGCAGAGGAAGATCGTGGCGTCATTGTTCGTGAAAATGAAACTTCCGACCTCCTCACCCCTTAATTTGGTTTTGTTGATAAAACACAAAGGTGGCATAGAAGGAGTCGAACGGTTTTGCTTTTGGATTTGCTAATTTCTTGAGAAATCTGGTTTTGTTGAACAAAAACCCAATGTATGTGGGTTTATTCCACCATGGTCGATTTCTTGATAATTTTGGCAAAAAAAAATCCAGATTTCTTGAATATATTTTTTAAACCATAGGGTTTTATGGGAGATACTACCTGAGGCAGAAGGTATGTGGGGGGGGGGGGG